TCACTAAACGCGATATTCTGCTGTGGTTGGTTTAAAATGGATGAAGACAGAAAATGTTACTGAGACAGTATTTAAATGTTAATTTTCCATAACTTTTCCTCAAAATCCTATCTCGCTGACTTGAATGAAATAGATTCCTGGTTATTTCCCGACCTGCGCCGATGATTTAAGTGAAAATTAAGTCCTGACAACTATCGATGCCACCTGTCAGCGTTTAGCTTTGGTGAAGCGAATTTTTATCCACAACCAGCTTCAGTAAAGTCCAGCGCTTGCTGATACCAAATCGTAGTTTTTAAATTCTTCATTTTCCATGTGTTTTATTCTTTTTAAGTTGATTCCTTTCTTGTTCAGTGATTAGTAGCTGATTAGTTCATTAAGTATAATGCTCAAGTATAATGTACTGACCTTTCGTAAAGCTGTTGCTTTTCAGGGCTATATGCTTTTTCCAGCAATCGAGCACGTTATGACGGCAATGCAGTATGTATGACAAAATGAAAGTGTACTTTGGACTATGAAACTGGACTATGATTTCCTTCGCGAATAAAAGCGAACTTTGAACGGTAAAGTAGATGGCTAATGAGAAATACCACTTCCAGTAACATTCAGGGCTACTGTCAAAGCAACAGCTACTATAACAGTCGCTCACTCATCAGTAAAAAATGTCCATTTTGCACGAGGCCATCTCTTGCGGAATATTTAACTTAACTTTCCTAAAAGAATTAAAAGACACGTAAACATATACTACTCACATCCTCGTCACAGAAGAGCCGGAGACTTTACTTGGCGCTCCTTCTGCAGCATGATGGGCCACCGAGCGAACAGCTGAATGGAAGTGCTCAGTTCCCAACAAAGCCAATTCTCAAACGGTCGAGGTGTCTGCATTGCTTAGCTCTGGGTCATTTACGTCAGGTCTAAACACACCAGTGCCCATGCTTTCACTGTCAAGTAGGGCTTGCGCTTTCGTGTGACTAAAAAGTTACCCTAAGCCATCCACCCAAATTGCTGCGTTAATTAGAAAACGTCAATTGGTCAATTGATCAATCAATCAATCAATCAATCAACCAACCAGTCAAATTTTGATATGTCAATGAGAAAATTGTTTCTAAGCCATTAAAAGCAATGTATATGTAAGATTGTTTAATTAGCCTTACTGCGGAAACAGACTACTGCACAAACATTTGTATGTAAAGTTCTGATAAATACAACTGATTACCTGCTTGCGTCGCTTCTTTAGCATTTCCTCCAGGCACTGCAGTGCTACTGGTACATCTTGACTGCTACCGCCTTGCACGGAAAAACCAAAAATATACACATATATAAAAAAGAAATACGAAAAAAAAAGTCTAAATTGAAAACAGTAAGTTACTAACTTAGTAAGGAAGTTCCTTTGGTGTGATTGTCTGAGTGGGTACCATAGTCTACCAACATGTTGAAAAACACACGGAAAGCGGTGGCGGCTGTATCCCCCTCTCTTCACTCTCTTTGCCCTCAACTACGCCAAACGACACCAAATACTCCCTCTCCCCGCTTTCGTAACAAAGGGTACGGCTAATCTCAAGTCACAGCTGATCGGTAGGTTTTGTCATGAAAAGTGATAATGATTCGTAAGTTTCTCGCAGGTTGCAAAGCTTCAGGCCCAACAACAGCATTACTAGACTGTAGTTATAAACACACCTGAGCTATCACTCTACACAAATGAAGCCAATTAGAGAGCGAATCAATGACGACTAGTCATATCAGGAAGGCTTCAATGCTCTACCATGCACTAAGCTTGTTCTTTATTAAGGCCGAAACATACGGAGGGTTGTACTCCCGGGTTATGCTCTAAGAGCACTCTGCAGGACCGGAGCTCCTCTGTATGCAACAACGACTTCATGTGCATAGTTTGAACAAACCTGACAATGCTCCATGATGTGTACTGCTCCAGCAAAATGGGAAGTAACTCAATTCCCTCAGCTCTTACCTGCATGAATTTGCAGAAGTGACGAGTACAACATTCTGTAGAACTCTCGAGGATCGATGTTCAGAGCTTCCCCTGAAGTGAGGAGAAAAAGTTCATGAGAAGTAGTGTCAAAACAGAACGAGAAATAACTTCAAAATGGTGCTAACAAAAGCCACTCAGTAAAAAGAAAAAAAGAGCAAAACTAAAAGCGATCTATTTGCCTTGGCCTGATAGAATTTTAAAAGCAGTGAGTACACAGTTGAGAGTTTCCCTCAGAGTGAGTTCCTGAAGTGGAAGAACCAAAGATTTCGGGAGCTGTTATCACAACTACAACTGCAAAAATTTTGGCATATTATCTGCACGATTCTGAAAATGCGTTTTTTTTTTAAGCTGAATTATCAGATACCCCATCAAATTATATTCAATTCTTGATTCTTAAATATCAGTTTACATTTCCTTCGTTATTCAGCAAGTCGAACAGGCAGAAATCGGGTTACAATTTCATTTTTTTTTCCGGAAACTTTCGGGAAAGCCTGACCAGGCAGAAAAATTCTTCCAAATTGCTCGGAAGGTTTCATCTGGCTCACATATTGGTTTTAATTGGAGCAAGCCTCACGCATTGTTCAAATTAGAAACACCATCTGCCTTTAAAATGGATACAATGGTAGTTTTAAGCTTCTAAATCAAAGTTCTCTCGTTATTTTGAGGTCATAAAGGTCGCCTTCATAGAAATGTTAAAGATGGACAAGTACCAAATATGTAAGAGCTATTGAGGATGGAGAAGACAAACACTGACTGAAACTAACTAACTCTATCATTTGAACTAATTTTTGAGTAACATCGACTCACAAAATCGCGAGAGAAAATGTGCGAGAAAGATTATGCAAACAGCTTGTTTACCCTGACAAGTAAAGTAAAGTACCTTGTTGTTTAGAAGTGTATGAAGAGCTCCCATAAGATCATTAAAAAAGTCCACATTGATAAGGTGCGCAAACTTGGCGAGTCCCTCGAGTACAGGGGATAAGACTGGCGAGTGTCCAACTGTCTTTAATACTCGGAAATACGTCACAAACACGAACTTGAGGATCTCTGTTTGCTGTTAAAGGAGAAAAGAGGTATAAAAATTTTATACCTTAATGATCTTGTTCAACTTCGCATTACTAGGACTTTGAAGTATGCAAAAGAAAAAAGAGCGGGAAACAAATATGGAAAGGTTATCGTTAAAAACAACTGATGTGGCTGGACATCACAATAGAACAAGTATTTATAGCGAGACCAAGGCGGAAAAATCAAAGAAACTCGAAATCTAGTATCTAGCGAGACTTTTGTGTATTGTCACTGGGAACGTTTCAATTTCATGGCTTCAACAGATAGAACTCTGCAATGACTACAACGAGGGGCTCATGCTTGAAAAATCCGTTTTTTTTTTAATTTCACAATGTCATTACTTTACATGGATAACCAACTTTGCGATATGTTCCCCACGATTGTTAGGTCAAGGAAGACAAAGCAAACTTCACACTTACCAACTTGGCTCGTTTCTGTTGACTTTCAACAGCTTCAGTTTCTTGCATTTCTTTCTCTAACTTTTTCATCTCTCTCTTTCTCTACACGTAAAGAACGTGTTGTAAACATTTGTTATATCATAGCAAAAATATATAGCATCTGTGCCGAATTGTTCTCAGATTACACCCCAATGATCCCATATGGTGTTCATTAATGATCCTTACGCATCTACGAGACACAAGACGCAAAGATGACGTCATAGAGGGTCCTTTTTTTTCCTTATCAAACAAATAGCATCCATTTCGCCCTGAGTCATTTCAGATATACATCACAATGATTGTTGAAAAAAAAGGGGCACAAAGGCACAGGTAGACAAGCGTGTCACAAATACTCTTGCCATCTTTGACAGCTTCCGTGGGCTACAACTGAACAAATACATGTCAAAGTGAAGTGTTTTTTCTCTAAGTCACTACAACAAATACATCACTTGGGCAAAAAAAAGATTGAATTGAACGCACCTTTTTCTCTTTCTTTGAAATCTTTCCTTTCAACTTCTTCTCCATTCTATTCTTGTTTTTCTCAATTTTCAGTTCGACTGCTGATTTCGTCTCATTGTGCTGTTTAAGCGACTGGATATCTACCTGACTTATTCTCAAATGAAGTAGTGTTTCTAAAACCTGCATTGGAAAGGAAAAGTCTTCACATTAATTAATGGAGGAACACACTCTCCCTTTCAAGACCAATCTTAACACAATTATAACATGGTCCAATTAAGCTCACTATCTTTCTTCTTTTAGCTAAAATAATGAAACACCCAAAAATGTGTTAAATAATGATTCTACACTTAACATTGAAATGAATATTTTTCAGTGTCTTTTTCTTTTTTTTTCAAGTAAGTGGGGTTTCATAATGATGATACATCCGTTGTTAATGTACTAAAGACAGCAGAAGGTAGCTAAGGTATTAATCAAAACGTGGTTCAGAGGTGTAGTTATGGAGGAAGAGGTTCCAAGGTTGTAGCTAGGGAGGGGAAGGTTGAAAAGGTGCAACTGTAACTAAGGAATGGAGAGGTTCAAAGTGTGCAGCCAGATGGTGGCTGAAATTGAGGGATAAAAGTGATATGAGGGAGAGAAGTTTATGTGTAGGGAAAGGGGTGAAAGGGGTCCAAGGGTGTCGCTACAATGGAAAGGGGGTCCAAGGGTGCAGCTATAGGGTCTAGGGAGTCTGTGGATGTTGCTAGCCTAGAAAGGAGGTCCAAGGGTGTCGCTACAATGGAAAGGGGGTCCAAGGACGTAGCTGTGGGGGAGAGGGGCACCAAGAGTTTAGTTACAGGGAGAAGGAAATCCAAGGGCATACCTATAGGAGGAAGAGTTCAAAAGGTGTTGCTACAGGGGGAAAGGGGGTCCAAGGGTGTAGCCACAAGGGAAAGGGACTAAAGGGGTGTAGCTGTGAGGGAAGGAAACTGGCTGATAATTGTTATATAAATGTAGCTACAAATTTAAGTCCAATTACTTGTACTTACACCAGGTTGAACTCTAAATCCTTTACTCTTTACAAATTTACTGATTACTCGGACAGCCTAGCAAAATTTAGTAAACACAAAGTTAGAAAAAGTTCTATAACAATGTACATTGCAATGTACAAACAAGTATATTTGTATATTTATTCCAAAGAATTCTTGCACAAGAATTTAGGAGCCTTGTCTGTGTGTAATTGTTCATGGGACTTTCCATTGAGACAGCATGACTGGAGGTTTTACAGTAACACTGTCTAATAGCTTCAACTTGCCCATTGAAATAAGTTAAGATTTTTTACTGAATTGTTGATATTTCCAGAAGATACAGTTAATACCTTCTGCTCGGGTACTCCACCCTGCCCTCCCACCCTACCCTTCATCCCTACCCTCCCACCTTACTCTTCCACCCTACCCTCCAAACCTACCCTTCCCTTCAACCCTACCCTTCTACCCCACTCTCCCACCCTACCCTTCTACCCCACTCTCCCACCCTACCTATACCCTGGTGTCTTATCTAATTAAACAAGGTAAAGTTTCGCAGTATTTTATTTAGTGGGATATATTCTTGCAGGAACTTTAATTTTAGCATGAGGGACAACCCACAAAATTGGCCCAAATCAAATCCCATACCACATACATGTTTACACCTCATGATAATCATGCAAGAATACCTCAAGTGAAACAGTTCCTACTGAATCTTGTTTAAACAATGAAATAAAAGCATTGCAGCATAACTTTGAAATCTGAGAAAGGAATACACATGTAAATCATTATTGATTTGATCAATTTTACCAAAGAAAACTGTTTATTGTAGCTGATTTTGAGGAGGACTGCATACATTTTTATCTTTAGGTCACTGCATTTTAGGGAAATTTTATTCACCTGTTTATCAGCTTTTACAATATGTAGTTTACAGACAAAACATGTGGCACATACACAACAAGGATTTGTTTCCAAGCAGTAATAATAATATCCCATTTAGCACAATTCCAGATTGCCCAACTACAGTACATTCCATCAATATCCTTCAGTTTTGCCCATCCATAACCTTTCTTGACTTTTCATGGTGTTTTAGCTAATTATAAAACTGATTGTTAGAAACTTCATGCGTAGAAATGCTTAAACTTGTCTCTGACACAACTAGATTAATTCATATTGATACGAAAAAAAACTATTATCACAATGTTCATAATAAATAATTTATGTTGCCTAACCTTGCCATCAAGAGATTTTTCATTCATTCTGGGTACAAGTACTGCAATAAGGTTTGTGTGGAAATTGAAGTGAGGCACAGATGTTAGGAGATCACACATACACTGGACTGTTACAAGCATCAAACTCTGAAAAAAAGAAAGAATTGGATTTAGGTGACAAATTTATCACGTTCACTTCAATTAAAGTCACTGCACCAAAGAAAAAAAATCTACAGCCTTCAAATCAAATCTTCACTTTCATACAGCAACACATCACAGTCGAACGCAAATACAATTTTTAACATCAAGAGGAAACACGTATAACATCATATCCCAAGAAAACAGGTAATGTTATGTTTGACAAATATATATTTATGACACATTGAATATACACATGTATCAGTAAGAACATTAAAACACATTTCAAAGGAAATACATGCAAAGATCAGCAGAACCTAAACACATCTCACAGCAATACCATCTCAAAAGGGTATCAGGAAGTGGTGAATGAAACTGACTATTCTACATGTACATGTAGTTCATAGTTGTATAGTATTTTAGTGCTGTCATTCTATTCTTTAGAACAAGTTACCCATCAACAGTGGAAAAACAATAACCTAGCTCATACAGATGCATATACAATTGTATGCACATGTGCATATATGAAATTTATATGCTCATTTATGTGTGCATGAGCTATAATTTTCGCTATATGCATCTATCCTATATTTATATGCGCAATACACTACATGTACATTCATATTTACATATGCCTCCATTAATACAGTCACTATGTACCTTTTATTTCTAAACCATTTAACTCTCATGCATTATCCAGCAAAGAAGTGATGAAAATATTAGAACTTCTCAGATAAAAGTTGTTATCTTGATCTAACACCAAATTATTTTAATGTATTAACAAGGAAATGTGTTGCAGCTAAAGGGGAGAATTAACAATAAGACCTTGTGAGTAACAGGGTTAAAGTATTTCTGAGAAACACTGTATATGTACATGCAAAAATAAAACAAGTTCTGTTAGAAGCACTGGCAAAGTAAAAAACACATTGATGAAAAGTAGAACCACATGTTAAGTTGCAAATGGTAAATGTATGTGAGAAAAAAAGATTGTTCTCACTTGACCATACCTCAGATGAAGTTTTTTTGTCCACCAATCCATTTTTAGAACTTCTTTTCTGAGTTTTAACACACTCTGAAGAATTCAAAAGAACAAAGTGAAAAAGAAAGCAAAGTTAGGAGTACTAAGTATGGCAAATTTCCCAGAAACACTCATGTGTAGTTATGTAAACAATACAGTTTGTCATAGGTCAATATAATTCTACCTTGTACAGTTTCTTCCAAAATCTGTAGGTATTTTTGATAGTTTTTTAACAGCCCTTCCTCATAACCTCTCAGTTTTTTCACCTCTTTGGATAGCTGAAAAATAAACATGTAAAAATCATCAGAGAAAGAAATGAAAAAAAAAAAAGGCTTTAACTGATAACCATCTCAATGCAGCAACAGTGTTGTATGTCACATAACAAACATGTTATATAATAAACTAAATTATACATGCAGTTTGATTGGTGCTTACTAATGATCTGCAGCACAGAAGTGTATTCACTATTTAAATATCTGTAAACGATAAATGAAATCTTCATGTTTACGTGAGATTATAGAGGCTTCTTTCTGAAATAATATGTTGACTTTTTTATTTTTGCAGATATATCTGCAAGATTAAAACTTTTGATAAAATTTGAATTAGATTCAATTCATCGCTTTTCAAGTGGACATGTTAACCAACCTTCACATCTTGCTCTTTCTGTGAAGCTGTCCGAATTGGATATCTGAATTAAAATCACAAACCATAAATTAACAAAACACTCCTTACACAGTACATGTCAAAGCTCAGTGTCTTTTAGAAATTGTTGAGTGGCCAGCCATTTGAAAAAAAGTAGGTAGCAAAAGTTGAAATCTCTCTGAGATCAAGACATGTACTTAACTGTTTTGTCTAGTTTAAGTAACTAGCATTTAAGAAATAAGTAGCCAGGCCAAGTGCGAGCCAGTGGGGCTTCAAGAGAACACTGCAAAGTTATCAAATTTAAATATACCTGTAACTTAAGAATTAATTAACAATCACATTTTGATGAATGTAATTAAAATCCACCGGGGAATTAAGTTTTTCGTTGCCCCACATTAACACATCTTCTTTACCATAAAACTGTTATCTACATGTACAATGTGAACTCACCCAGGTATGATATCTTTGAACACTGTTAATAAAGAAACCATTGCCAGCTTTTTGGTTGTTATTCTGATGTCTGCCTCTTTTTCATTACACATGGAACAGAGTTCCTGAAGCTCTGATACCTTACATAAAAATTGAGAATAAACATTTCACTGTTGAGTTTTAAGATTGGTGCAAGTAATTGTCATGATATTAAGTGCTTTCCTAGGATTCTTTGTCATTTCTGTCACCCATGATTTTAATGTTAAACCTGGTAGCATAATGACCTTGCCTTTGCCATTCCTTTGCTAACTGCTAAACCCAAAAACTCAAGATACAGTCAAACAAACTGAGTCAAGTGATTAACTTAAAATACCTTTCACTTTATGAATTTTAGGCCCAAGCTGTAACATAATGCTCAGGTTTTTCAAAGAGAAACAGAAGGATCTGAATTTCAAAATAGAAACCAAGAAAAAAAGATTTGCAAGAAACATGTATCTCCCTCCGATGAATGTCTGACAGGTTTTGGACACTGTTCCTACATGTAGTTACAGGGAAAGGCAATAAATGGCTGATGCATGTCAAAAACAATATGGGTCAGTTTTATTCATATTTTTTTTTGCAGTTTAAGGAAAGAAAAGATTTAAAACTTTCATTTTCCTTTTAATGAAAATTTGAACCATTATTGATAAACAATTATGAAAGAATTTGGCCAAAAATTAGCTCTGAATTGAAATCACCTTTAAAATTAGAGCACTGATGAAAACCTGTAACTTAATATACAATTTACTTCATCCATCATTCTGTATTCCAGACCCTAAGATTCTTTTGAATGACAGTGTTAATTATTAAGGATTTCTATTTATTATAACTGTAATAATTCCTTAGTGAAAGCAACTGCTAAATTAACACCATCAATTCAACAGAAACATTTGTGGGTCTTGGTGTCTTGGTGTAAAATCTCTCACAACCAGAGGAGTACTTACACTGCTTTCAGGGTTTTCCAGAATGGTGTTTGACAACTCAGCAATCCTAAGTTTTCTTTGGATAAGCTTCTGTCGTCTTTGATTAAAGAGTTCAACCATACTTAAAACAGGTGGAGGAGCTGAAGGGACTGGTAACACTTCTGAAGTTTGTTCTTCTGAATCCACATCCTCATTTTGAAGAGAATGATCTGCAATACAATTTCACAGGCCAAGATAAATTTTGAAAAGTAAAACTTTACTTTTTTACTTACAGGTAGAGGCAAGTACAAGTATTGTACACAAGTTTTGGCTCAATATGATGCATGGTTCAAATTTAATTTTTGTCTATTTTTGAATAAGAAAAAACATAATTAGTGAGAAAAAAGGGATTAACAATTAGAACTATGGATAGAGTTATAAGTACCCCCCAAAAATGCCAAAGGTAGGTCTACTAAGGTAGTAAAGATCATTAGGGTAAGGGCTACTGTAGATAGGAAGAAGAGACAGTTATCATTCAAGTTGATTTGGTTTTCCTGTCTCCAGGGTAAAATTTGTGTTTAAATGCCCCATGTGTATTTTTCAAAAAAGGCAAGATCAGCAAGCATGACCTTCTACACATTGACCAAGTTTTAAAACTAATTTCTTTAAGACCTCTTCTTCTGAGCCATTTGCTTGTGAAAATAAACTATTTAACTTAAACACCTTAAAATTTAAAGATACAAAACTTGTATTCTGCTCTAAAGACTTGACACTACCAGTTCAAATTTCCTACCCCAACCAGACAAAGTTCCAATTCCCCA